TTCTAGAGAAATGTAGGATCCTGGAGAGCACAGCTTATTCATTCATTCATTCCATGGATATTTTTTGAACATCTACGTGCCAGGTACTAGGTGAGATTTAAAGATATACAAATTAAAAAGGCCCCACTCTTGGGTTCTCAAAGAGTTTTGAGAAGATGATTTGTGAAGAGGTGGTTATAATCCAAATGCTGCCAGGGGCCTTTGACTTCCTTGGACAGTCTAGATTAAAGTCTGAAACAGAAGAGCAAGAGCATACACTGGATTCTGCTAGACCTAGAGGCCAAGACTGTTACTCTGCCTTGGCATCCATGCCTATGGGAACTGACACAGTGGTTTTGTTCTCCCAACTCCTCATATCCACCCACCTTAATCTCCATGATGTATTAGTGTCAATGTAAGTGTAGAATTTTAAACTAAATACACCTTGCGTGGCTAAATAAAACTCTACTGAGATGGTTCTGAGAGTTATACATATCCACACCCAGAGTCTCCTTGGTAAGTACAGATGATGTGCGGCTAGGGCAAGCAAGCGTTATTCAGATATTACCATGAAAATTTCAAATTCTCTGTATCTCTTGTTTGCCTCCTCATTGGCTTCCATAAGCCAGTAGGTGACACTGATACTTTGGCTTCCTACTGCCTTGATTTGCTTAACCATAATGGCCTCAGTTGGTACCCACGAAGTGCCATCTTAGATAAAATCATCACTAGGAATTGCCCCATCTCCAAGATTTCAAATACCGCCTCCAAACACAACCTTCTTATGCCCCACTATGAGTCTAGCTAACCCCAGGTGGCACCGTAGGCTGCTTGGTCATCCTTTCATATATCTTTCTAGTTCCCTCTTGCATTCATCACTTGGGCTAGGCCAAACCACCCCAAGACCCAAGTTACACCCATTCTTTCTCAGAAGGTGACTTCACTACCTAATTTGCTGATACGATACTAAGTTTCCCCAGCATCCATTTTCTTGGCGTCAAAATGCCTCTCTATCTTCTTCTTGACTGTTCACTTGTCTTCTGTCTCTGAGGAAGGCCTGTCTCTCCTCTTGGCCATTGTCCATTCTCCATCTAATGCTCTTAATCTTTCCTCAGGATATTTCTCCAACAGTCTCTCTATCTTCAATCTTTTCTTCACATTTGCCATCATCCTCTAACCTACAATAGTTGTCCCCAACCTAAAACCTTCCCAAGCACTTTTCTTCCCTAAGTGATTCTAAAAAACATGTTTTTTCCTCCTACCATTCAGAAAAAAAATGGAGAAAATCTCATAACCTTGAAGCTTATGTAAGAGAGTCTGCGTAGGACAGCTAAACTGTGCATCTCTCTCAAGTCTGCATGCCTGTTAACTTTAGAACAGGCTCTGCCTTTAGAACAGATGAGAATAGAGGGACCTGCGCCAATTTTCATATTTATGTAACACTCAATCATGGATGCCACTAACAGGATGAGGGCATCTCCGAGGGACCACAGGTGTCTAGTTCAAAGCCTGGGGAAGAATAGGTACCAGGCGCAATGCAGGATTATTTGTCATTCTGACATCTGAAAGGAAAAGGGGTTAACTGCATCATAAAAACCTGATATTGTTGCCAGCTATACTCATTTTCAAACTGTTAACACATTTACCATCAAAATGCCTTTCTTTACAGGATGAGTGGAACAGATTGCAGTATTCTATAGATTGGAAAAAATGGAGTTGCAACAAGCACCTCTGTTAACAACAGCTGGAAACACGACCAGCCTAACCTCCTGGGACACAGAAGCTGCACTGACTAAGGGAACATGGTACTGGCCACCTACTGAACGGCTCCTTGTTGGCCCTGGTATTGGTTCCCCTACATTAATCCCAGCATATATGTGGTTAAAACCAAAAGCATCCATCCCCTTTCCCTGCTTCTTTTGCTACATTCTTATGTAAATATCGGTTTCTTTCACCTTTGTTTCCCTGAGCTTCACAACTCAAATAGAAGTTACAAATTGTTAAAGACCTGCTGGCTCATGCTAAAGTTTTGGCTAATTATGGGTCCATGAAATTTATTACAGGGAAACTGGTGTCCAGAGAATATTAAGAAACTGACACTTCCCAGACTCCAACTCTTTGGCTTCCTGGTGGCATAATGCACCATCCATCACGGAGGCAGACTACCAAGGACATTCACCTGCAGATTCCCTTATCTCGCCATTCTTCTCCCTGAAAGCAGCCTTACAAGGCCAAATACAGGCTAGTAGGAAGACACCAGCCAGCAAGGCCACATGCTCCCCCTCCTCTACCTAAAACCCCCCAAAACCCTACCTTTTTCACTTTGGGGAGGTGGATCTGAGTTTCAGCTCCCATCTCCTTGTCTGGCTGCCTTTCGATAATAAAAGCCCCTTTCCTTGCCATTAGTCTGGCATTCCATTTTTTTTATTTTTGGCCCCTCTTGTGTGATGAGTAAGTGAACCTGTGTTTGTGTCCAGTAACAGTTGCACCAGGGCCCATGTAACTACCTTACACTCAGGATCTTATTATTTCCACGAAAATCTGTGAGGTTGGTGTGGTTTTACCTCCATTTTACATGTGAGGACACCAAGACTCTGTGAGGGTGGCTTCGCCACTAAGTCATGTGCCTGAAACTAGAGACTGTAACTTGAAACAGCTACCAAATTACCTATCCAATTGATGGTAATGTGGAGATTCAGGGAAAATAAAAGACTCTAAGTACTGGATGGAGAAAAATTACTGATAAATTGCTGCTATGAAAAGTGGAGAAAGAGATTAAACAAAAGGTAGGAACAAGTTGAAGTTAAATATATAAAGTGAATGAGTAAATGTATTGATATTAGAGCCAGCAACTTGGGAAAAGTAAAATATATGACCTGAATAAAGGTTATTAACATGAAGTCATGGTGTCTACTTTCCCTCTCAATCCCTATCCCTCACCACCAAATGGATCGATCTGTCTGTCCCTCAGAGATTCCTCAATGACCACTGTATCATGCGGATCAGAGCAGCCACCACACAGTTACAGCAAATAGTCACAAAGGGCCCAGAAGGTCACGTCTAGGGGGTAAATCTCACTGTGGTGACTGTGAGGTCCCTCTGTCCACACTGTGCTCTCTCATCTGGGATCCAGGCAACCTTCCTTCTTCTGTGATATTTTGCCCATTGGATTATAAGCTTCTCTTAGAGAAGTCATTTATGGAACTCAACAATACCCTCCCCCCAGCAATCACCCCACAGGAAACAAGAGGACTAGGTGGACATATTTACTTTGAAGCAATGGCGAGTTTGCCTTAAGATGACCTTCAGACTTGAGAGGTACAAGAAGAGAACTCTTACTCCAGAGACTTTTCATCAGGATTTTCATGATGCAGATCTGACCGATGCCACTCACTCCTAGTGGACATTGACTGTAAGTTCTCAGAGGCAAGGTCTTCATATTTGAAAGCAAAAATGACATTCCTAGATGATAACATTTCCACAATAAAGGTAAGATATCAGGGAACATCAATTTCCCATTAAGAAAGTCATGAAGCTTCAAAACTTGTCTTCTCTGCATTTTCTCCTTTTCTATTTCACTTTGTACTGTGGAGTTACGTTTACTGATGGATGATGGAGGTACCTAAAGATAGACTCATGTGCATATTTTTTAACCCCGTTGTTGTGGAAGAATTAGGGAAAGATGGAGGCAGATGGGATACCTATATAATGGGAAGTTTTTATTTAAATCCATCTGCCAAATGTAACTAAAGAAGGTAGTAAAAATAGCTGAGAAATCAAATATAAAAATCATTTAATAACCAGAAATCAAGGGGAATCACAAGGATGTGGATAAAGAACTACAAGAAGGAGGTAGTGTCCTATCACCTGTGCTTCCATCGCCATGGAAAAGTCATGTGAGCATCAGCAGTGACACAAAATTTTGCATGAATCTACACGATCTGAAAGCAGGGTCTTGGCTAAATGCTAAAACGTGTCAGGTACAGCAGCTTGGCTCCACTTTAGAAAGACAAATCCTGAGACAGTTTACAAAACCATGACCAGGGAAAAGAGGAAGGTGCAAAGGTGAATGAAATTTAGGATCAGCAGCACAGTGCTGGGCACCCCAAAGTCAGACCTTTCTTGAGCACCAGTGGGTGAAGTAGTGTGGGGAGCACTTACTGTTTCCTTCCTCACAATCTTTGTAATAACTCCATGAACTAACTCCATGAGTGATATTAAATGTCCCCATTTTATAGGTAAGGATGTTGAGACAAAAAAATTAAGTACTGTGTCCAAAGTTACCCAGCTAGTAAATAGTTCAGCAGCAAACAATACCCGTGAAGGCTGGTCTTGCAACCTGAACTCTGAATCATTTCGCTGTCTGCATGGACAGCAGGGCTTGTGGGTAAGCAGGAGACCAGGGAGGACTCTGTGCTCCTTGTTCAGGCAAACTCTGTGCTGCAGGATTAGAAAAGCACCTTTTGTGTGGGGTTAGTAAATCACACTGAACCAACTTTGAAACAACTTGGAAACAAAAGCACTGAAGCTAAGGTTCAACGGCAGTATGAGGGTGGAGTGATAAGGGAACTGGGCTAAGAGTCCGACTCAGATTCTAGTCTCTTCTCTGCCACTAACTCACCAGGTGAACATGGACCATTCATTTATCCTCAACAAAACTGAAGCTTAATCATATCTAAGGTCACATCAAATGCTGGAATGTGATGACCCAGACAGGCTTTTTCACTGAATTGGTAACAGAATGGTAACATTTACAAACACTTGTGTTGAGTAGTCAGCTAATCCAACTTCCTATTTCCATGTATTACTTGTGCATATATAAATTTATGCTTCTCCCTTTGTATTTCACAATGAAAGATACATAAATCATGACAGGAGTGCAAATGTCATGTACTATTATCTTATTGTAGGACTCTCCACTGTTGTCAGTTGTGGCTGATGTGGACAAATGCTCTTCCAGGTACCAAGGCTTCTTTCTGCTTTCAGCTGTAATGCTGATGGGGATGGTGTAGGTACTGTTAGTGTAGCCGTCACAGGAGCAGTGGCCTTTGCTCCTTCTGCCGTTTCCCGATGCCCAGACAAAAACAGAGCCGAGGCCTCTCCGCCCTTGTTCATAAAGAGAAGAAGTTAAATGAGGGAGGACAAGGATCACAGACTCTAGATGAAGAGATCAAAATCAACAGAGCAGAATCAAATATTTGCAGGAGCAGGGACGGTATTTTAATAACTTGCTGGATTTAAGCTGTTTTTTCAGGTAACAGGAGATGCTTTTAGAAACTATAATAATCTGATGTAATGTACAGCATGGTGACTGTGGTTAATAATACTGGATTGTACATTGCTAAGAGAGTAGATCTTAAAAGTTCTCATCACAAGAAAAATATTGTAACTATGTGGGGTGATAGATGTTAACTAGACCCACTAGGGTGATCATTTCACAATATATACAAATACTATATCATTAATGATGTACACTTGCAACTAATACAATGTTATATATCAGTTATATCCAAATTAAAAAAAGAGACTGAAATAATTCCTTTCACATGATATAGTCATAGAAGTAACAAGAGCACCAATGATGATGATAATAAGGGCTAACACTTATTAGGAACCTCCCATGGACAAAACACAATTCACAATTCTACATGAATGGGACTGAATTCTTCCAACAACCCTGTGAGAATGGTATAAATTTTGTCCCCATCATACAGATGAAGAACTGTGGTACAGAAGTTAAGTAATGTTCCTAAGGTCATATAGCTAGTAAGTGGAAGGACAAAATTTGAACCCAGACAGCCAGACCCCAGAGTCATGATTTTATTAGTTGTAATCACCAGAGTCATATAATATTGTTTTAAATCTTTACATCCCCCATGAAATGGGTGCTCTTGTGCACCCTCATCTGACATATGAGGAACATGAGGTGTAGAGAGGTTAGCGTTCATCCTGAGATCACATCATCAGTGGGGGGGCAGAATCGGGTACTATATCTTTCCTTCTAGATCTGAGCCTCCCCTGTGCATGGCGTGGACGCTAATCATTGAGAGACGTTAATGCACACTACCAGAAATAAAAGGATTTCAAGATCAAATATGTTTGGGAAATTCTGAGTTAAGCAAAATTAACAGGTTCTCTTTTTGCAGAACTTCTAAGAGTCTTTAATAGGTAATTGTTAATTGCAAAACTCTAAGAGGGGGGCACAATCTGAAGTAATTTCCAAACGTATTTGACTATGGATACTTTCTTCAACCAAGTCCATGAAGTTTTTCTTACAGGGCTAGGAGATTATATTAGACATTATATTAGGAGTTAGGAAAAGCAAATGATAAACCAAATGTGGTGTATATATATACAATGGAATATTATTCAGCCTTAAAAAACTGAAATTCTGAAACACACTACAACATGGATGAACCTTGAAAGCACTGTGTTAAGTGAAATAAGCCAGTCACAAAAAACACAAATACTGTATGATTCCACTTATATGAGGTACCTAGAGTTAGTCAAGTTCATAGAGACAGAAACTATAATAGAGGTTGCCAGGGGCTGGCGGGAAGGGAGAAAGGAGAAGTTATTGTTTAACCGGCACAGAGTTTCTGTTTGGGATGATGAAAAGTTCTGGAAATGGATAGTGGTGATGGTTGCACAACTTTGTGAATATAGTTAATGCCACTGAATTTTCCCTGACTGCATCAATGACACAGTTTTAACCTTGAGGGTTATTACTTTTTTTTAACCTCTTTGCTATGATTTTTAAAAGATTCAGCTGGCTTACAACTTCACTAGACATCGTCAGAGTTGGTGAGTATAATTAGACAAAGGACGTTACTTAGAAGAGGCTTTTTGAATTAATTTAAGAGAAGAGGGGCTTGGCGGTTAAGTGCGCAAACTCAGCTACTGGCGGCCCAGGTTCAGATCCCTGGCGCGCACTGACGCACTGCTTGTCAGGCCATGCTGAGGCAGCGTCCCACATACAGCAACTAGCAGGATGTGCAACTATGACATACAACTATCTCCTGGGGCTTTGGGGAGAAAAAGGGGAAAAAAAATAAAAGAAGAAGGATTGGCAATAGATGTTAGCTCAGGGCAGGTCTTCCTCAGCAAAAAGAGGAGGATTGGCATGGATGTTATCTCAGGGCTGATCTTCCTCACAAAAAAAAAAAAAAAGAGAGAGAGAGAAGAAAGACATAGAAGGGAATTATTGTGGAATTGGAAAAAGCTGGAGTCTCTCATGTTAAGGCACTAAAATGGAGCCGGGTGGACATGAGGAGGAGAGGAACAAACTCCTCGCTCAGGAGGAACCCTTGAACTCATTAAATGCCTGAGATGTGTCTCCAGGTCTTCTCAGGGAAGATAAGGTCACTGGGACAGAGACCCCATTCCTGTCAGGAAGATAGCATCATGGGGACAGTGACCCTGTTCCTGTCAGAGTCATCTCCCACTTTCCTAAATTTCATGGCTTGTTTCCACCACCCCACACCCCATGATTACCTTGCTCCTGGAATTTGTTAAAAGACATTCCTTCTCTCTTTTTTTCTTTGCCTTTGTTAGCCACAACTATTCTACATCTCCCTTCTCCCTTCCTTCGCCCTCTCCCCTCAATGCCCAGACACACTTCAAGTGCTACTTGAATTTCTGCTTTCCCAGTCTGCAGTCCTAAAAAAACCAAATAAACTTCCCTTTAAGTTTATCAGAGTCTACCTCATAATTGATGGACAACTTTAAGAGAGTATAAGGAAGTGTGATCCCAGGTTGTCTGGAATAAAACTAAGGAACTTTTTGAACTTTTCGAGTTTAGTGTGATGAAAATTTGGAGATTAAGAACAATGATCATCTGTCCGGCTCCCTCCCAAAGACCAGTGTGTTTCCTGCCTCCTCAGGGGCGTTAGTGTCATTCTGGTTTCCTTAAAGTCTGGTTAAGGGCTCAACTCACTTTGGAATGGGAAAACCTGTCCTCTAAGGCAGCAGAGTTCATCTGCAGAGGCTGACCTTGATAGACGAACAGAAATATATCTATTTATGCACACACACCAACAAACAGATAGTTGGTTTTTTTAAAGGACTCTTCAACCTCATTACCACTGCAGGCCAAAAATGAATATAAGAGATCTCACTTTTCACTTCAGAATTCCAGACTGAAGAGTAGTAAACATTTTTCGTTCTTTCCTTTTTCTTTATTTTTATCTAATACTAGGTAGTTTATAATACTGAATAGAGCACCATAGTTTTATGGAAACAAAATTTTAGATTTGAAAGCCACATTATAGATCATTTTGTCCACTCAATTTTAAAGATGAGAAAACTAGGGCACAGATGTTACGTGGTTGGCTAGGCCACACATCAAGATCGATTCTTTATCTGAGACATCTTAACAGTGGCCCTGGTTTCTATCCCACCCACTTGTCACACAGCCCACAGGTCCTGGATTTTCAGAACACTCCCAATTTTAAATACTCTGGGCATAAATACTTCCTAGGAACCACAAATTCTAATTCCAAAATACAAAAATACAAGAGGATCCCCACTTGTTTTCAGAGGAAGTTCTAAAATTCCAAGTCATGCCCTGTGTCTAGATTTGTGGCTTGCTAAAAGTGATTGTCAGAGTAAATATTCTCAATCCATGTGAAAAAATGTAAGGCTAACCATTAGCAAGAATGAGAACTGCCCTCTTTGCCCAATTTCCTTCAATATGTTAAAATCCAGCTCAACGTCTTGCACGCGATCCCTTTCCCGAACCACAGTTACCGCCCCTTCTTTGAAATCCAACATCATCCACTACAGGGAGCCATCGAGCAAACTGGAAGTGTGAAGTCAAACTGAAGTGAGTGTAAATCCTAACTGTGCCATGTCCTCCTGTGTGGCTTCAGCAATCACCTGACCTCTCTGACCTCAGTTTCCTCACCTGAAAGACACAGCTCATAATACCCTCCTCGTTTGGTTGGTGGTGATTAAAATCCCATAAAGCACCTGCACGGTGACTGGTCTACAGCAGTCACTCAATGAGCAGGAGTTGTCACCATCATCTCTCATTTCAGCACCTCATTCCACAGAACCCGTCTCTGTGAACTGACCTCGGCATGTGATTGGTGAGCTCCTAGTAACTGGGGTCTGGTCTCAGGCTTCTTTCCCAACCCTCTCTACTCACATTGCTCCCTTGGCCTACCACAGGCTTATTCAGTTGTTAAGGACCCAAAAATTAAAAAAAACAAAAGAGTCCAAATATTTCAAAATTCCTCCCTTACCCCCTAAAATAGTAGGGCAGAATCCTGGGTGCGTTTTGTTAAGTGTACCTTCCACCTCATAGTCTTTTCCAGGTAGGGATCCTAAAGTACAGTACTTAAATGCTCCAAATTACAGTGTCAGGTGTCAGGAAGTGTAACATGAATTCAGAGCACTCTGTGTTGGGTCTTACAGAATATCTAGAAAGAACCCCAAAATGACTGTCCTCATACTGGGTGGCTCTCATCCTGTCTTCAGAATTGATCTCATCTTTCTTGACCTTTCTGCATTTCAGTCCCCTCACCTGTGCACAGGATCAGCTGGTTTCAGTTAGGGGTCCCAGCTCCTGAGTGATAAAGCCCTTTGCTGTTCCTCAGCAGATGGGTGATGGGCAGGGACAGGGGACTGACCACTGACTGGGCTGAGTGTCAGGAGAGTGGAGGATGATGGGAAGTCCCGCTGCAAGATGGTGCTAATCAGACTGTATTTCCACAGTCTGAGAACTTATTTTTTTCTCACATTGATATTTTTTGAAATCAATGGGCATTTAATGCACTGTTTCAACAAGCGTTCATTACTAAGGTGCTGTTTCTTTTTCTGATATTAAATTGATGGTGCTTTTAAAATCGAAGTTATCTCAGAACTAAAGAAATTGTTAATAGTTAGCAAGTACTTTGCCAAACGTCTTACACATATTTTCTCTTTAATTCTCACAACAACCCTGTAAGTAGCTACTTTAATTCTCACTTAACAGTTAAGGAAACTGAGGCTTCAGCTGCTTTGAAGATGGCCCTTTGCTCCAGGTGACCAGCAGGAAGGAGGTGAGGGGAAGCTCAACCAGGGCTGACCCCCTGGAGGGCAGAGGGAGCAGCAGCCTCACTCTCTGACCAAGAACAGCACTGGGCCCAGTTATCAACAGCTTCGAATTATACCTCGCCCACCTCCTCACCTTCCAAGGAGCCCCAGAACCTTCCAAATCTTCCTGCAGGTGTAAATGTGGAAAACTCTCCTCCTGAAGACTTCAGCCCTAAGACACATCAGAGCAGCCTCTTCAACCCTCAGAGATCCATTCGTGACATGAGCTCTCAACGTTCCCTTAAACAGCTTCATAATCTTGAGTGGCAAACTTTATCATTTTCATTTTATCTAAGTTACATTTGGGTATATTAGTTAAATTTGAAATCATTGCCCAAGCCTAGAATGAAGAAATTCTCTATGTAATAACACACAAAAAGGGTTTTGAGATGAAACGGCATCCAGAGATGAGATGCACTTCAGTCTGCACAGAATAAAGCAACTTAAAAACAAGCCTCCAAATACACTGTAAATGTGAACTGGGAAAATCTAAGAAGAGCACACCAAAACTCTTCAGTGATCATCTTTTTGTTTGGGGGACGGGTATTTATTCTAACACTGTTGTGTTGTTTGAATTTTTGATTTCCACTTCAGGAACTTTTTTTATTTGCAAATTGAGATAAAATGGCCCCAATTCTTCAACTGATGTTGAAGGATTCAACTTACGTTTCAGTTAAATATGTTTGCAAAACATTATAATAAAGGTAATTTCCAAACCAACAAAAAGCCATTCGCAATCTCAGTCCCATTACACCTTGTTCTCATGTTCCCTCCTGATGCCAGTCCAGGGACACTGCTAACTCACATCTGTGCTCAGGTGTAATCACAGCTGGGATTCCGTTTTCTATTCTGCTTTTTTTCGCTTAATAGATGTCAGAGTCTTCACGGTTTTTTCCACAGTTACTTTGTGCCTCATGGTTGGGTGCTCAAAACTTATAAATTTCTATGGCTCTTGATTGCCTTCCAAATGGACTACTATACTTACACTGCCACCAGTAGTATCTGAGTACCATTTTCTGCACATTTACTATGTAATTCTCTTGATTATGTACTACGTACCCATTTACTGTATAATTATTTTTGTCAATATTGCCACAGTCAAATGGTACATCACTGAGGCTTCATTTTGTATTTCTTTGATTACTAGTGGCTCAATATTTTCCTTTGAGTGTGTTCACATGTGAGACGAAGGAGATTTGGAAGCAGTGATTTCAGCTCTGGAGCCAGGCTGCCCAGCTCAAAAACTGGGCACTGTCATTCGGCAACTCAGGCGTCAGTAGGCCCTTCACCTCTCCAAGCTTCAGCTTCTTCACCCGTAAAATGAATAAATAAATTTTAAGTGATTTATTTGACACATAATGAGCCCTTAGTGAACATTAGAAATTTATTCATTATTATTGTTTATATTTTCTCTTGTCTAGACTTGGTTCAAATCTTTAATTCATATCTAAAGGTAACTTTTTCAGACCGCCAAAATGAGAAACTGTATTTCAGGTTTGCTAACAAATACCTGAATACACTCAATTTAATTCCACTCTGAGTGTCTATTATACAAAACAGAATCCTAGGTTCTGGGGGGAAAATACAATCACAAATAAGTCATCTCCCGGGTCTCAAGGAATTCACCCACTGGTTTTTTGCTGAGCCTTCTGGGGAAATTATAGGCTTGGTCAATAGAGTTAAAAACTACTTAGGGAAG